TTCTGCATGCATGCAAATTACAGTATGTGCTTTCATACAGACTTATGGCTCATCCCCACTACAGCACCCAGGATCCCCTGGTGGTGTCCTATCCAAGTATTAACCAGGTGTGACCTGCTTAGCCAATAGAATCAAATAAGGTCAGTATGTTCAGGGCGTTCTGGCGGCCATAGAACGCCCTGAATCCATTTACTAAGTTGGATCTTTCTGGCAACTTCAACGCTGCCTTGTTGCTAGTTCCTTTGGAAAACTAATTCAGGCAACAGCCGATCTGCCCGTTTCCCCATACTGGCCATAATGCATCAGAACACAACCAACAGGTATTCACGAAGGCTTTCACAGCCGGGATCTAATGGTTGTTGTGGGTTTTTCGGGCTCTTTGGCCGTGTTCTGAAGGTCGTTCTTCCTGACGTTTAAGATGCCAGCCACAGAGACTGGCGAAACGTCAGGAAGAACAACCTTCAGAACACGGCCAAAGAGCCTGAAAAAGCCCACAACAACCACAACCAACAGGTCTTGGACAAAGGTTTATGAATATGTTCTCTTGCTGCTCCTGTTTTATTTGAATCAGGTTGCCAAATGCTACATTTCCTTCGTGCCACCCCACCGTTGCTTGCTTTAACCAAACTGGGTTGGAAGTGCATTAGATTGATTTCTCAGGGTGCTGTTCTTGGGCATAAAAAAAAAGTACGTTCATTCCAAGCTGGGGTTGTGGAGGAATGTGTCGCTGAGGATGGCATTTGAAGGAATGAGCAGCTAGTTTTGCGGCCAGCGGCATTACAAATGGGATTTCACGTAGCTGAGTAACAAACAGCATTTGTGAATTGGTGGCAGAAGTCAAGTGGGGTGGAGAGGATGAGATAAGGACTCAAGCAAGCCAGACATTGGGAATGACTCAGGCTTCCACTGTGTGAGCAGCTGTTGTGAAATGGCTGTTAGGGGAAAAAAGAAAAAGAAAACATTTGGTGGAGACAGATATCAGACAACTTGGAGGTTGCAAAGAGGATTTACATTTTGATTAAACAATTAAACCTGCAGTAACAACTTGACGTGGTGGCGCTGTGGGGGGACGTGGTGGCGCTGCGGGCTAAACCGCAGAAGCCTGTGCTGCAGGGTCAGAAGACCAAGCAGTCGTAAGATCGAATCCACGCGACGGAGTGAGTGCCCGTTGCTTGTCCCAGCTCCCGCCAACCTAGCAGTTCGAAAGCATGCAAATGCGAGTAGATAAATAGGGACCACCTCGGTGGGAAGGTAAACAGCGTTCCGTGTCTAAATCACACTGGCCATGTGACCACGGAAAGATTGTCTTCGGACAAACGCTGGCTCTATGGCTTGAAGAGCGGGATGAGCGCCGCCCCCTAGAGTCGGACACGACTGGACAAAAATTGTCAAGGGGAACCTTTACCTTTTTTAACAACTTGAAGACTGCGTAGCTTTTCCATTCATGTGGGCATGGGGGTTGGGCAACTCATCCCTCTTGTGCTATATCCCAAGGGCCCTTTGAACCCACAGAGCAGTTTTTTTTGGGGGGAATCCTTTGGGTTTTGAGTGCAGGGGTGGGCAATCCCAGCAGGACAGAGGGCCCTTTTTAAGATTTGCATAAAGGCTGGAGGAGAGCTATAGAGCTAAAGAGGTTAATTTGCGTTATTCTTGCTTACATTATTATTGTTATTGTTGGCAAAGGCTCACTGCTACAATGATAATATTTCATTAAAAAGCAGACACACCTCCAGATGTGTCATATGCCACATTGGATAGTGATGGAAATTACGCCCATGTTGGATAGACTGAGAAATGTCTACAACAGGTTGGATGAAGCTGTGGCCCTCCAGAGCCACTCCTTAGCAGCTTACAGACAGTCCTGAGCTCCATAAAACAGTGATCGGATTTGGTATAAGCACTGTTCAGAAAAATTACTGTGACTCCCAGGACCTAGCAAGTACGTATTTTTCAGTGTATAAGACTATACTTTTGTCTAAATTCTTTAGATTAAAAATTGAGGGTCATCTTATACATGGAAGTAAGCTGCAGAGAGAACAAAACCAAGTGGAGGGGAAATCAGGGATCAAAGCGATTCTGCAGCGCTTTGATCCCTTTCCCCCGATACTTGCTAAGCCCCACTTAGATTTCTTAATTTTGGATTAGAAAAGTGGGGGGGGGCGCGTCTTATACATGGGAAAATACGGTAACTTTTCTCCGCACTAGACATAAGATCTCACTTCCTAAGAAGAAGCAAAGTAACTTTTCTCAGCACTTGATGTAAGGTGTAGCTTCCTAAGAAGAAGCACCTATTACGTGCCGGATGCGCGCAAGGGAGCGAAAAGTGGACCCCTCTTGGTGCATTGCGCTGTCTCAAGTGCCTCCTTTGATCCTCCTGCTGCAGGGGCTCGCTCTGTCTCCTCTGCTGCAGGGAGCACTGGACCATGCAAATGCTCTGTTTGTTTGGCTGGCTTTGCTTGTATGTCCGTCTCCCCGGGGTGATGATGCAGCTCATGAATCACCACTGGTTATTATGGATGAGTATTTCTCAAGTCGTCTAGTGACCTGACAGGACAGAGATCAATGCGAGCAGGCTCCTCCTGACAAACGTTCCTGTCTAGAGCAACGGGCACGGGGCCCAAGGGCAGCAGCTGCTTTGAGCTGATGAGAGGAGTATAAGCTGTCTCTGAAAGAGGGAGAAGGGGGGCAGCTAAAGGATAAGATTTGCTGCAAAGGGCAGGAACTTTGTGATGCGCAAGTGGGTCTTCTGGGGCAGCACACCCTCGCCATTCCAAGGAGAATGAATGACTCTGCCTTTGATCCGAGCATGGCAGGAAAGAGAGGGTCTGGGTGGCTCGGTCCTTCCCCGTCATGGCAACCTCAGTTAATTATGGAACGTACTTAGAACATCAGCGCAGCCCACTGTCACTAGGGAGAGAAAATGCTAACGTGGCTTTAGAAATGTTGATAGAATCACAGAGTTGTGCAACTGAAGAGATCTTGAAGCCATCGAGTCCAATGGTCCGCCAATGCAAGAAATGTACAGCCAAAGCCTCTTGGACAGATGGCCCTACAAGGTCAGTTTAAAAACCTTTTAACAAAGGAAACTCCACCACTTTCAGAGATGCCCTGTTCTGCAGTTGGACAGCTCCTATTCTCAGGAAACTCATCATTACGCGTACTACGTTAGGGCCCCAACGAATGCTATATGTCAGTGGTCTCCAACCTTGGGCATCCAGATGTTCTTGAACTTCAACTCCCAGAAATCCTGGCCAGTGGAGGTGGTGGTGAAGGCTTCTGGGAGTTGTAGTCCAAGAACATCTGGAGGCCCAAGGTTGGGGACCACTGCTATATGTCCCATGGGCTTTGGCTCCCTCTAGTAGCCAGTTTTGGTAACGTCATAGTTAGAAGTATATATTTCTCGGATCTTCTTCGAATATTTTTAATATTTTCAGACCATGAATAAGTGAGTCAGTGGATATTCATTCTGTGGTTGCAAGGTCCTACTGTACGTTCCTCCCCAATGGACTGCCATAGAATGACGTGCTTGCATTCCAGCCTATGTTTCCTTCCCAGAATGTAGGAGGGTTCTTGGCTAAAGAGCATCATTCAAGATGCTTACTTAGAACGTGCGGAGTGCTCCAGTATAAACAGTGTCAGCAGCTCTTCTGTTTTGCTGAAGGGGGGTTTGTTTTTTGGGGGGAACAGACAGAAAATGCTCCGATCGGTTATGGCAATTGCTTTGATCACCAGGAAGGGATTGTGCATGCTTCTTGGCCCAACAGCCTCATAGCCCCAGCCGATGTCCCTAACAATCCAGTAGCAACTCCTTAATGAAGGGGGAAAGGTGTGCACATGTAAAATGGAACAGTGCCTTTTTTTTTCCAGCTTCAGACCTGAACGAGTGGGTTCAAATTACACAAAAGGAAATTTTGATGAAACATTAGGAAGGACTTCCCAGTGGTTATAGCTGCTCGAAAGTGGAATAGATGCACTCAGGAGTCAACTTGCCTTCATTGGATATTTTTTTAAACTGAGGTTGGAGTGAAATCTTTCAGGGATGATTCAAGTGTGGACTTCCTGCATTGTCAGGAAGTTAGGATAAGCGGCACTTGAGGCCCTCTCCGGGTGTACAATTCTGTGCTTGTGTAATGACTTGTCATAGGATATCCAGTGTGCTTCATGGCTGAGCAGTGATCTGAAACCAACTTTCCCTGGTCTAGGCACTAGATGGGCGCAGAATGAATGAATGAATGAATGAAATCCACACTCTTGTGCCTTGTGAAGCTGGTGTACAGTATTTGGGAAGTAGGGACTGTATCTAGATTGCAAGCAGTGGGCCTTCTCTTTGAGCAAATCCTTCTGAGAATGGCTTTGAAGCAAGCAGTCAAGGAAGTAGATTGCTTTGTGTGAGTGAGAGATTCTCAAGATCTGGTTCCCAGGATCTGGCACTCACTGGGCTTCCTGGCTGCAGTTTCTGACCTTGCAGATAGGTTGCTAAGCCTTTCCTTCCAAGCGTAGCCTTGTCTGCGTGCAGAATGCTCTGTCGCCCTCTGTTTTTCTGTAGCTGTTCTTTATCTCTCGGTTGGTCTTTGGGGATTCTGCTGTGCCTCCCTCGCCCCCAATTTGTCGCTCAAAAAGGCTGATAATTGCCTCTCAGTTTTAAGTGAGGGTATAGGCCAGCTTCTGTCCTCCGCTCAGCACAGAGATAGTGTTCTTCTTTATAGATGTGACTGCCACCACTGTTTGAGTCCCCTCTGTGTTCTCAGCCCTCTGGACTTCTCCCCCCGGCCCCCCGCTCCTCCTGCACAGTGTTTTACAGTTTCCTCCGTCACTGCAATAAGATTTTGGAACTGCTTTTCTCCTGGAGCAGGGACGTTGAATGACATGGTAACACACTAACTGGTAAAACACGGACTTCATTGCCAGCTGATTTACATTGCAAATAAATTTTGAAAATAAATACTCCTAGCATATCCCTTGTTCGTGTTTCTCTCCTTTTCTTTTCTTTTTTTAAACAGGGAAGCTGGACTCGAAGATTCATCAGGGAGCCAAGAAGGGGTTAATGAGGCAAAAAGCTGCCAGGGTCTAAGCTGCAGACCACAGAACACCTGCGCCATGCATAGAGAGCAGAAGATGATCTCCTTCACGCCCCCTGACACTCGCTGAGACGTCAGAAACAGAAACCCCAGAGATGCAGGAAGGAAAGAACCGAGGGCCTTACGAAAATCCACATCTTAATAAAGAGGGTAGGGGGGAAGCAAAAAGGGAAGTTGCTAAAAACTTATATAAATATTGCTATCAAAGGGTAAAATTTTGTGCCAAGTTGTTTGTTACCAGAGGATAGTGTCAGAGGCGCTCAGAGAAAATGGAATCATGGGCCAGCATCACTTCTTGATTGCTTGTTTCTCAGCTGGGTCTTGGGGTGTTTCTGGAATGGTGGTGTGCCAGAGAATGTGGGCAGAGGTTTCTGTTGTTTTGTTGTTGTTTAGTCGTTAAGTCGTGTCCACCACTTTTTTTGACCCCATGGACCAGAGCATGCCAGGCCCTCCTGGCTTCCACTACCTCCTGGGATTTGGGTTAAATTCATCTTGGTCGCTTCGATGACACTGTCCAGCCATCTCGTCCTCTGTTGTCCTTCTTCTCTTGCCTTCACTCTGTCCCAACATCAGAGTCTTTTCCAAGGAGTCTTCTCTTCTCATGAGATGGCCAAAGTATTGGAGCCTCAGCTTCAGGATCTGTCCTTCCAGTGAGCGCTCAGGGTTGATTTCCTTCAGAGAATGGATAGGTTTGTTCTCTTTGCAGCCCAGGGGACTCTCAAGAGTCTGTTGCTTACCTGTGCGCTAAAGCCAAATATTTGCTGGCTCTTGTTTTTCTGCTTGGCTTCAATTCTTGCTAAGTATGGAGCTCAGGAGATCAGCCTGCAGCGGCAAGATCACTGTGTGACGCAGCCCTTAGCTTGGGTAGAACATGTGCTATAAGTGCCTCAGCCATGACTTCTGGGCCAACTAGAAGGACCTCACGCACTGGGCGAAAGGGCTCAGTTGATCTCTGCCGCTTCTCTTAATTCCAAGCCGAGGAAGGGAAGAACAGGTTGTGGGTGAAGTGTAGCTGAATACCAACTGCCAGCTCTTAACTGAGATTCCATTTTAAGGTGTTGTTATTGTTGTTTAGTTGTTAAGTTGTGTCTGACTCTTCGTGACCGCATGGACTAGAGCATGCCAGGCCCTCCTGTCTTCCACTGCCTCCCAGAGTTGTGTCAAATTCATGTTGGTCGCTTCAGTGACACTGCTCATCCATCTGGTCCTCTGTCGTCCCCCTTCTCCTCTTGCCTTCACACTTTCCAAGGATGTGTGTGTCTTTCATAGCCCCAAACTACCACCACCTTGATGTGGTACTTTGGGGCTATTAAAAACACACACATCCTGCTATCCTGAAGCTCCCAAAAGCTTCTCTAGCCCAAGGGAGCTTAGAAACCCCAAGGTGGGATGGGTTAGGAAACTTTCATTTAATTTAAATTGAATGTTGCACTTAAGATTCCAGGTTGGCACCAAAGGGAGATGACATCGCGGTTGTGAAAGTTCATTAGTGGAAGATGTGCTTTTCAGACTTGACCCTGCAAAAGCTTCCATGTCGGCTGCAGGGTCTGGCTTGTGAAATCATTTGTGTGGTCCAGGAGCATTTCTTTCAGGAAGCCTACAGAGGAGAAAAACTGGTGCCGCTCCTTGGCCAACCTGCAAGGCGCTCGTGTATAGAAGCGCCACCAACTCCCAGGACCTAGTAGCATTGGCAGTGAGCGTGAGAATATGCATGTGCCCCTTCCTGGTCTCCTCCTTCCCTGGATTTTCTGACAGGAGAAGCCATGCAGCTTATCCCCAGCCAGTAAAACCATGGAAGGATACGGTCAAGGGTCTTACCTTAGGATACATGAATGCTGCCAGTAGGCTTTCTCTGAGAAATGGAAGGTACCCAACACAACCCTCTTCACCTCATTGTAGTCCTCCTCCTCTGGAACTAGCAGGCCTACAATCTCTTAGGCAAAGCCTGTGGCAGGATAGTTTCTAGTATACTAGCCGGGCAGCCTTGGCTATGCATTCAAACATATTGATGAACATGTCACAGTCATTCTTGAATCCACTGCCACCTGTTTTACAGGGTTGGTTTCGAGGCTGTTGCTGGACTGCAAAGAGTAAGTCCAATCAAGCAGGAGTTCCTGTGTGTTTTTTCCCCCCAGGGGGACGGTGGCCTGTATTCTCCACCACTGCACGTGCCCCCAAGCCCTCTGCTCTGCTGGTTATTATTATATTTTTTTGGCCCTGTTCCATCTGCAAGACATAAAGTTGTCTGGGGTTCTAATCGAAGCTGAGAGCCCTCTCTTGGGCTCCCTTTTGTCCTAGAATCCTTTGGGAGGAGAGGGGAAGGGAGGCGTTTTAATAGTTTACAAATGCCATAAGAAAAGTCACTTTTTGGGCTGTAGTAGGTCCCAGAGGCCTCTTAGCCAGCATACCTGCTGATCATGCTACTTGGGGCAAAAAGTGGCTTTTCTAAGCTATGGCAAAAAATGAGTTGCCGTTTCTTTCCCCTTTCTTTACCAGCTAGTTAGGTGAATGGTCTACAAGACAACACCCTGTGTTATTATGTTCTTAATCCACATTGATTTAAATACGAACACATGTTTTCAAAAAGATAGATTTGAAGAGTACAGAAAATACCGCATAAACCCAATGTATCCCCTGTCTCCCCCAGTTCAGAGCAGTGATTACAAAGCATGGCTTTTAGAGTAGGAAGGAGGATTGACAGCCAACACACTTGGGTTTGTTATGGTTCTTTTCATTTCTTGATTCATTCAGTTGAACTGGGGAGTATCAGCAATGAGAAGTAAAAGACAAGCATGTACAATACATGTAATAATGTAACTTGCTTTGGGTCCTTTTTCAGGAGAAAGGCGAGGTAAAAGTATTTTGAATGAATGAATGAATGAATGAATGAATGAATGAATGAATGAATGAATGAATGAATGAATGAATGAATGAATGAATGAATGAATGAATGAATGTAAGACAACCTGGACTTAACAAACATGCTGATTGCAGAACAAACCACTACAGCTATCCTTTGGAAGGCGGAACACCTGAGAAAGACGTAGTGAATGTCCAACCTTCATGCATGAGGAGAGGGAAGCTGTTGCCAGAAAAATAATGTGTTTCTAGCAGTTTTTTCATTGGCTGTTACACAGAGAAGCTTTACTAGGTTATGCCCTCCTCCTGGACACGCATGTAGAGCAGCTGCATTTGTGGCCCTTTGAAAGTTCAGCCTGGTGATAATGATGGAATACGCAACTCTAACGTAATTGTCCGCGTGGGAGGAAGGTCCGTAGGCTCAGCATGCAGAGGCTCAGCAATTCCAAGGGTCATCCCCGTGAGGCAGAGGGACCGTTTCCCCCATTGTCCTCTCTTTCTCCTGACTGGCCCAGTGGCAACACCAGCAGCAAAGTAGACCTTCGACACACTCAAGAACTTTCAGTTGATCTCTTAGAGCCTTTGAGCACTTCTGCCCAAGGAAGGAGTCACGTTTTGCGGCCAAAGCTCTTATGCTGTGCAGCGCCTGGTCCATACCCTCCGATTTTGATCCCCCTCTGCCAGTGTCTGAAAGAGTTGCCCACCCTTCCACTGAGCCATTGCCCCTTTCCCTTGGACCTTGAAAGAGGTAAAACTTCCAAGTGCCCAAGAACTGGTAGCAAGGCTTCTGATCTTAACCTCCACTCCTTGCTGAAGATCATCTGCAGCTTCTGCGTGCCATGTACAGCAATGTTCATGTTGTTATCACACAGCTGTGAGAAAAACAAGTCCCATTTCTTTGGGAATCTTTGCAAGCAGGAAAGCTTGGAGGAAGCAATCCTAAATATGAGCAGAAGCTCCTGACAGTTTTTGAGAAAGCCCCTGAAGACCAGGTATGACAGCTAGTGGACCCAGAATCTGGTCAGAGAATAGGAATATGGGATGACCAGTTCCATCGATGAGTCCCCTGAAAAAAAGTCATATATAAAGCTTTGGGAATCTCACTAGTGTGTGTAGGGAGTTCTTTCAGCACTGCCTGCAGTGCTTGGTAGAAAAATGGCAATTACCGTATTTTTCCGTGTATGAGACTATACTTTTGTCTGAAATCTTTAGACTAAAAATTGAGGATCGTCTTATACACAGAAGTAAGCTGAGGAGAGAACAAAAACAAGTGGAGGGGAAAGCAGGGATCAAAGCAATCCTGCAGCACTTTGATCCCTTTCCCCATACACTTGCTAAGCCCCACTTAGATTTCTTAATTTTGGATTAGAAAAGGGGGGCGTCTTATAGACGGAAAAATACGATATAAGGAAGTTGCAGAGAGAGACAATGGCCACGATCTTCACTCCCTCTCCCCCCCCCCCTTGTTTTGTTGCTGTGGACCATTTGGACTTGACTCTGGCCATGTTGCATGAATTTGGAACTGGGATAAACTTGAAAATTAAGGTGAAGTTTTGAACGGTCCTAATGGCATGCAGAAGTCTGGTCTTCGTGGTGTGAATGTGAGTGTTAATGGAACGTATGTGTATGTCTGCACTTAGAAGACATGTTCCCTCTTTTCAAATCAACAGCCTAGGCTAAAGCAGTGCCCATTCCTCTTGAAAAGGTGGAGTATTGATCCAAAGCTTCCCTTTGTTTCACAGGAGACTGCTGTGTGTTTCATTCTCTCCTCCCCCCCCGCCCCAAATGCTCTTCACAAGCAGGCAAAGACTTTTCTCTTCATGTGTATGTCTGCACTTAGAAGACATGTTCCCTCTTTTCAAATCAACAGCCTAGGCTAAAGCAGTGCCCATTCCTCTTGAAAAGGTGGAGTATTGATCCAAAGCTTCCCTTTGTTTCACAGGAGACTGCTGTGTGTTTCATTCTCTCCTCCCCCCCCGCCCCAAATGCTCTTCACAAGCAGGCAAAGACTTTTCTCTTCAGCAAGTTTCCCCCACCCCACCCCAAATGCTCTTCATCGACACAAGCAGGCAAAGACTTTTCTCTTCAGCAAGTTTCCCCTGAGTGACTGGCTACCAGAGTGGGGTTTTTAAGTGGATGGTTGTGCCTTCCTGCTTTGAATGTGTTTTTGTATTGCTTTTATTGTTTCTGAAATAGGTATTTGTCTGATCCTTTTAAGTACTGTATTTGTATACTTACTGTTTTAGCTTCAAGCATTGCCTTGTAATGATGTAAACTGCTTTGGGTCCTTTTTAAGGATTAATATTGCTTTTAATGTTTCTGAAATAGGTATTTGTCTGATCCTTTTAAGTACTGTATTTGTATACTTACTGTTTTAGCTTCAAGCATTGCCTTGTAATGATGTAAACTGCTTTGGGTCCTTTTTAAGGATTAATATTTAAAAAGATGGAGGGGGGAGGGATAGGTGGATGGATGGATGGACACACTTTGGAGAAAGTGTGCAGCATCTGTATTACCTGCTTTGCTTGCAAAAGGTCCTAGGCTAAATCCTTGGC